ATAAACACGTTTAAACTGATCGTGTATAAACGCAACAGGTGCTGCCATCAATTGAATGACTTGCAAGATTTGATGAGAAACATTTTACTGGTTCAATTAACCAGAGAACATTTTAGAATATTGAGGACGCCGATTTTCTTCTCTGTGCCAAAGGATCAAATCACAGTGAAGGACGGTGCAATTATCGACAATGAATTGATGCTAAATACAAGCGGGAAATTTGCTAAAAGATCGCGCAAAGTGTTTTGTATATGTCCCACGATCGTTTTTCCTTTTTATTTGGATGGACGAAACGTTTTTCTGATGCCGTTTCGTTAAATTGTGAACTTAACCTTGCCACGCGCTCTTGCAGATAAACACGTTTGCACACCGCTGCCCGTCGCGGTGATGTTGCAGCGTGGCCGCGTAATCACCGGTGCAATTTATATTTTGGATGGTGCGTGCCAAAACTATGCGTGCTGATTTATATTTGATTGATATAAATAATATAGGTAGAGTTAGCTTAGTTCAAGAAACTTAACTATTAATTAATTGTGGATAAACTAAAAATAAATTTAAGATTAAGAATATTTGATGTTGCCGAAGAGCTTACTAAAGGGAGGGGAAATTTTTATGATTCCCCCGGTGTTGCCCGCGTGCTCATTCCGTGTTCTCTGCAAAGAAAGAAACGTTGGGGAGAGGTCGGTGGTCTCGTTGCCGTTGGTGTTGTCTGTTGGTGGTGGTAGGTAGGAAGTATTGATCGGGTCGAGTCTTCGACGGTCTTCACACAGCCCTCCGCGGAACCGCCCCAGCCCCCTGTGTCACCTGCGTCATCTCCAGGCAGGCTGCCAGATGTGTAAAGGGTTCCAAAAAAGGACACTCCCAAAATTATCTTTTTCAGTTTTCCATTTTTTTTCAATTTTCACGTTTTAATAACACGTAATAAAGGCAAAGAACAAAGAAACAAAGACCTCATCCGAGATTGCGATCACAATGTTATCGCGGTTATTACGTTATTAATATATATATTTTCCACTCCTCTTTTAAGTTTATCTTTGAACAATTTTGTTCCTTTTTTTATTTATTAAGAGCCTTTGTTTTCGATTCTCTTTGTAAAGCATGAAGTACGAGTGAATTTTTTTATTAATAAAATCGATTCTTTTCGTGATTTCGAAAGAATTTTCAAGGATTTCTTAATCTTGAGACATTAAAACGTTGAAAATAATAATAAAATCGAAATCATTAATCGCTTGATAAGAACGACGATTTTTACCTTCCCGCACGTCGCAAAAAGAACAATAAATAACACTTATCGCTTGGTATTAAAAAAAATGTTTTTATCGACGTTTCTTTTCTCATGTCATTTCAATCTGATATTTAATTATTTCAAAGTAATTTGTCGTTTTGAAAGTGTTACGTTTAAAGGATAGGTCATCAAGAACAATTTCAGTAACCATACAACCAAGAGCAATTACCACCACAACAGAGTATCAGTTTAAACGTTTAAACACCTAATCGCGTTTCCTTAAACGGCCTAACAATTCCAACATTGTTTACACGAAGGCGAAGAAATGTCCGCTTTGTTCCTTTTTTGTGCCCTACATTCATACGTAATAAACGTAAATACAGAAAACTAATTATTGTTATCTATTACCGGGTACGGGAAATGCGACTTCCTATCATTTCTGATTATCAACTAATTAATTTTTTACAAGTCATTGACATCTATTAAAATGTTTTCCAAATAAAGTAATCCTTCCAAAAAGAGCGTGTCCTCGAAGATGGTTTTTCAGTTCCTCATAACAAAACGAACAAACACGTGTCTTGAATGAATCTGTAACCAACATCCAAAAACTGCATTGAAACATGGGGTGTTCTTAAATGGTGCCCGGAGGTCGTCTTTATTAAAGAGAAAAAGACGCGCTATTTGGTTCGTTTCTTTGCCATCGTTGGATTGACGTAGCGTGTGTATAACGTATGCGCCGGTGAGTCTTTGCGCAGCTCTCCTCTGTGGCCACGTGTTGCGAAATTTATGGCGTTGTTTGTCGCTTTCGGTTATATAAAACGGGCCGTCAAGAATCGGGATCCTTGAATATTCATAGCGGCACCGAACGAATATGGCACCGAGAGATGCTATGTGTTTATATTGTTTATTGTTTCTTTTGAGACGTGTTAAGGTTGACGAAGAAGAAGAAATAATTTTTTTGGTGGTAGAAAAGTTTTTGTGTGCACAAAAAGGAATATTAATAGATGAGATTGATCGAGTACAGATGCTCTCTGCTCTGTTTGGTCTCTCTACCTCTCTGAGATTTTTGGCATGGATTTTTTGGAATGAACACCCACCAAGATAGACACACATAAGACTCACGTTTAGTTTAGTTGGCTCATTAAATTATTTCTTTAACCAGTAATCTTTATAAATCATTATTTTTTTTATAATCCATATCGATTATTCTTATCTATTCAGTGACAACACTTGCAATTTTCAACTTCGATATCTAATCATCCCAACTTGCAATGAAACTAATTAATAAGTTTTAATCACAATAACAACGACACGTTTGCATTTCATTTTATTTTTTTATTAATCAAATGTAATTGATTCCAATCCATTTTTTTTGCACGTCCACTTGCTGTGTTCTAGTAGACGATTATCGATCGCGATAAAGTGTCAACAAAGGAAAAGAATGATTCCTTGTCAAGTGCTTCTCGCGTTCACAGACAATGTCGTGACGTATCTACATTCAAAACGTATTGCAAATTAGACAGTCATAGCATATCAATTAGACAAACCCAACAAATAAGTCTTCAATTATTAACATAAATCTATATCTATAACATACAGGTTGTTCATAATTAACCTTCCTTGAAGATGGCGTTAGTTAGAAGTTATTAAAATTTATTATACAAATTTTATCATTTACTTTTTGTATTAGGTAAATCTATATAACTTAACCTATTTACATCATAGTCTCAGATATTTACGGAACAACTAGAACTAACACTACTAACTAGTAACAATAACAATTAAAAATAGAGCTAACACCAGCATTAGAATTAACACTAGGCTTAGAACTAGTAACTAAAAACCTAGAAACTAGTACCATTCAGGTTTAACTGTACGTTTTCAGACAGTATTCTAAATCTTCTCACATTTAAAATCTGATAAAACGCTTAAGCTTACGGAAATGATTCGATTTATAGGATAATTATAAATATTGAAGTTCGAGTTAGATAACTTTCACTGTATATGATTAATAAACCTAAATTTTATGTTTCAGTATTTCCCACTAAACTTAATAGATATTATCTTTTCGTAACAATATTTATCAAAGGATTACTAAAAAAAGGTTGAAATATTATGTTGGTTACGACAAGTGTTTCGCAATTTTTCAATTCGGTTATGAGAGGAGAGGAGTTGGGCTGTGGTTCTTAGAACGTAAACAGACAACGAAAAGTCAAACATTGATAAACCAGGTGAGGAGGAGAGATAAACTTCTTTCGTTTGGCTTTCAAGTGTTCCGCAAACTGTGTTATCACGTGGTCTATTAAAAAGGTACACATGAGAGTACTAACGGGACTTAACGGGCGAAAGCGTTATTTTTTTCTTGCGCAACGTAACCAACAAGATCTTCGGCTCTTATTTGGAACGCCAAATAAATTTATCTGTACTTCGGTGTTTTCTTTTCATGATACGTTTCCTCGCCCTTCTTTAACCCATTTTTAACATTAACAAATAAAATAAATATTGATGAGTAAATATGATCCTTTTTTGTTAAACATTTTCTTTTTTGTGGTAAATCGGTGTTGTGCTAATGACGAATCTATACCAAAATGTTTACAAATGTTGGGTGCGTTCTAAATGACTTCTTTATATTATACGATCATTTAAACACGATTTGACTCATACTTTCTTTACCAACGCTTAATAAGTAAATTAAGTACATAGTGATAAAGACTTTTAATTTGTAACAAATTTAAGTTTGATTTGTAGGATTGTTAGTTTTTTTATGCATGCTTTACAAATTTCGAATTAATGAACGATGTATTCATGATTTATTATTTTTCTATTGAATCACCAAGGTGTGGTGTTACGTATCATCGTAAGTACACGTCCTTTTCCTTTTTTTGAGTGAATTAACCGTAAAGTTTCATAATTGCTGTCATAGATAAGACTTAGCCCCGTTTTTCGCTGAATATACGTCATTATACGTCAATATGCATCATTTTTGTAGCAGTTTTTCACCAATTTTTGCTTCATCTGAAGATAGTCTTTGTTGAAATTTAAAATAAACGAGAAAGTTAAATAAATAGTGTTACGTGATTCTAAGTAGACAACTTATGCCACACACTATTCTAAATTTAAATGCTCTTTCATTCTGAAAATGTGTGTATGTATGTTTTCTAAACGTTCTTGTAAGGTTCACGCGTTTTTCGTTCACGAACACATCAGTTTGTAATAAATGCAAGGCCACGTAAATATTGGGCGTTATTACATCCGATGAAGGAAACTTTGAGGTCAAGAAAAATCTTTACATTTTTATTTCGCAACAAATTTTCAGAACACACTGTAATATAACTCTTGAATTTATGAAATCCTATTAGAAAATTCCACGTTTCATAAAATAGCTAGAAAAAGTGGCTGCGTCATTCCTGCAGTGTGGTGACGTTAATCTTGTTAAGTCCGAGAACTTTATGGATATTAAAACTTAAAACACGTAGCAACCGTTTTTCTTTAACGTATAACATCCTGGTGAATGAGGATTATTCTCTCCAAAACACGCCGAGTTTGGAGAAAGAAGAAGATGAAGATGTAAAAGTAAAAGTGTCGATGTCGTAGTCGTTGTAGCGTACAAGATGAAGTAGGAGGAGGAGGTTAAAAAGGAAGTTAAAGGCCGCGGCCCTCGAGCCATCTCGAAATCTCGAAAAGAGACATGCGCGGCCCCGTTCCTCTTTTCTCTCGAGGTGCTCTTCAGTCTCGACCCCACTTTAATGGTAATAGTATAATGGTTGTCGTCGACGTCTTCTTGTGGCGTCGGGGCGCGGTTCATACTGAACACGGCGTCGTCGCCGCCGCCGCCATCATCGACGCGCTGAGACGCCAGCAGCTGACGCATCCGCGAAGATCGAGCCACTAGCCAACGGCAGCCAGCCAGCCAGCCAACGGCCAACGCTTCTGCAGTACTCGACAGCGCCGTGCCCAGAGTGCACACACACCGCCTGCGCCTCTTCGCGCAGTGCTGCTGCTGTTGCTGCCGCGACCCAACGATTTTAATACCAAGAGGAAGAATCGATCAACACCGCCCACAAGGTCTGTAGAATAACCCTACATCATCATTTTCTTCAAAACATCAACATCTTGAAAAAATAAGACCGTCTTCCTCCTGTTAATGTTACTATTAACACTAAATTTGTTAATCGACTTCTTATCCTTGTTGTAATCGACGTCTTCACTACTGTGATATTGTCGGGAACGTTGCGCAACCAGTACGGACTCGCGTGGAGAGACTCATCGGGCTGCGCGTGTTATACATAGTTGGTGGGGCCGCCACCAGAGCGGCCCCCGAAATCTCCTCGTTACGTTTCGATTTCTCTCCGTTCGTTTTCGGAGGGGTCTTCGTGGTTGTCGGGAATCTGGGACGTCGCTTCCTCCCTTCATCGGTTTCCTAGCGTCGCGACGTCGTCGTCGTCGTCGTCTGCGTTGTTGCGTCGATCAAGTGCTGCGGTGTTTATTTTCGCCGTAGCCGGTTGGGTGACTGACGGTGGCACGGTGACGTAGTCGAAGTGTGCCTCTTCTATTCGAATCGTGAAGGTTTCGTGTGACGCGTTATCGCATCTCTCGTTGTATGTTCGTGGGTGGTGGGATATATTGCTGCATATTTATACTGTTTGGTTTGCATCGTGATACTTTAAATGCAAAATTTTGATTTCACTTGTTTCATCTTATAAGATACCTAAGGAAATGCAACGCACACTAATAATATAATCACACTAATTCACTTAGAGTATCCGAAGCATGACGAGGAATGACACATATTTGACATTCATGTGACTTTCTTCGAGGTCAAAACGTGCCCATTGTCTTCACAGTCCCAAGAGTATTAATTTTTTTTAATCATTCCATCTACCTGAACTTGCAAACTAATATAACTCATCATTATTTACAAAACAATTTTTTTTCGTAAATATTTTCGGATCGATGTCTTACTAATAATGGTAACCACGATCTGAATGCTTAATGGAGGCAACATAGTGGTGCGAAGTGGGTCAACCGCGGCACGCGAGGAGGTCGACCGAAGAGACCATGACACACACACACCGACACACAGACGTAGAACACACACACAGCCATGAAGAGACTCTCGTTCTCGGTTTCTTATATGTTATGATGAAGAGAAGTAGAGGCCGTTGGCCTCCCCGTTCGTTCGTTCGTTGAAAGCGAAACGACGCGTAAGCACAGTTATCTCGCGTTTGCTTTCGATGGGGATTCCGTTAGGCCGATGTAAACATAACCTCTCTTATAATACCATCAGCTGATCATTAAATTGTCGTTTTATTTGGGTTTTTCGAAGATTTAGGTAGTTTTTCTGTAATGGGATTAATGAGTTATGTGTATTATGCACCTCACTTTTATTGTAACTTCGCGTAACTTGTCGGTCTTCTCAGACGTCGGAGTTCTATTAATTCTTAGGCGAATTCGTCCTTGACACGTTAAACCTCGCGTTTGCCAACTCCCACGTCTGCGGTTCTTTCTCTCCTTTTCTCTTCGATGCTTATTGATTTTTTTTCTTCATTATTTCCGCTTTCTATTGGTTGTACTTGTACATGTTTAGTTGAACATTTTCGATTGTTTATGGTGGTGTTTTTGATGATAATTAACACTATGGAATGGAACTAAAAAATCTTGACAGCTTTTACACCTGGAAGATTTATTTGCCAAATTTTTCTAAAAATATTTGTGCTACAGACAGTTTCGTTCCAAGTTATTTCTTTTTTAATTTTAAACGTTGGTCTTCTAAAATTTGCGTCAATCGAATCGACCTCAAAAAAAATAAATCGTGATCAGATTTTCTTTTTCTTTGTCATGTCAAGAAAACGTCGTCGTCGTCGTTGTTGTCTTTGTGTCCTTCAATGGTTTAAAGTCTCTTTCGCACGTAACCGATGCCCCATGCCCCATAAATTAGTTGCATAAAGTCGAAGGTGCACACGTCATTGACACTGTATTTAGCGAGGCAAATAAAAACCAATTTGAGTGCTCGACTCGTTTTATTACGCAATTTTGGTTACTAACCAACAACAAATAAATTGGTTTAGACTCGTTATCAGAAAACGAATGTTAAGAAAAAATTAGCTGTTTCTATTCTCTTCTTTTTATGTTCTTAATCTAATAGAAAAAGAATAATGAAGTAGTAAAATAGAAACCTTGAGTTAGAAATGATAACAACGGGATAGCAAAGCGAAGTAGGTCAGACAAATAGTTAAATACAAGAACATGTACAAGTAATAAAGTAGTTGCTCAACAATAACGTTTTAGTGTGCGCGTTGTTAAATAAATATAGTGAACAATTTTTATCAAAATAAAAATTGTTTCTTGGAAAGTCGTTTCCATTACATCTATATTGCAGTATTTTTTTATTAATTCATTGCCTTTAATTGGCCGGTTAATTCGTTTGGTACTAGAGTTACCAATCAGGTATTTCATGTTTTCTGCAATACACACACACGCAGCACCGAATAATTGGGTGTAAAGGAAAAAATGTCCTCTGCAACTCTACTAGCAGCAAAGTCCGGCGCAAAACTATTAAAGATTTTTTTAATAGACGCGAAGGCCTTCGCCGCCATCGTCGTTGACTTTGTTATCGCGTTTTACTTCGAAAAAAAACTTTGAGCAACGTTTTCGAATCGCAATATGAAGAATTATATGTGTACTTTTGTTGTAACCGAACAAAATACACAATACGTATACAAAATGGTATTATGACACACACATACTAAATACGCGTTCGTTATCGCTCCAGGTATTTGTTCCACTAAAAATACCTCTGTTGCCAAAGATAAGATACACAAGAATTAATATGTGTTTGGAAGAGAAAAATTAAATACATCAAAAAGTAAATAAGATCTGCAAAATAAAGATGATGATAAATGTTGTCTTCTAAGAATTTCACTTTAAATCTAAAATACCAAAAATAAGAAAATATTACAAAAATATATTAATAGGCCTCTTAGAAGTTTTTTTCTTTATTGACGATTCGTTTTAGAATAAAATTGGATTGCATAAGAAAAACGACAAAGTGCTCTTGCATAACTTGGTTCAATTAGTGGTTAAAAATCGAAACGTTCTTCACGGTCAACAGCGGTATATAAACCTTTTTTCTGTTTAATTTTCAATAAAATTACTTCTGTGTTAGGGCACGACGCATGTTAATTGCTTAATTGGTGGACGTTGAAACCTGGTTCTAATGGCGAAAAAAGTAGACTTAATTACATTTGATGTTACCTAGCTGCAGTTGTCGGCAATCGCAAAGTGTTTTTCAAACAGATTTACTTTTTACGAAAGCAAAATAGAAAATGTTATATTTTTTTATTCGAATTTAGGGATAGGTTGTGATTTTTTCGCGATGACTCAAACAAAACAAAAATTTATACTCCTTATCTGAAAGATGGTTATTTTTATTTTTTTCTTGAATTGTTACTGAACGTGAACAAAGTCTGATGAGTTCACCATATTTTATCTAAATCTCACTTTTTTATTTTATTATCGTTTTATTATCGATGGTGAGCGGTGACAATGCGAGGATCAATTGCTTTCAATTACTGCTTCTTGTCTGATAAAAATATAAAAGACGAAATGCAAAATTAAATTAAAAAAAAAATTAAATAAAGTAAAACCTCGAAATAACGGATTAATATAGGGAAAGAAGTGCCCGTTATTGCCAAAAGTCTGTTATATGAAAATTTTTAATTTGTACTTTAAACTGTTCGAATGAATAATTTTAATGCACACAAATTCGAACAGTTATCCACACCGTTGCGTTTTGTATTAGTTAGTTCTACTTTTAGTTCAGTAAAAATATACAATAATCTAGCACTAAATAACAACTAAAAGTAGAACTAACATTAGCATTAGAACTAAGATTAGACCTAAAATATATTATCCAACAACCTAGCACTGAATAACAATTAAAACTAGAACTACCACTAGATCTAGAAACGTTAGGGTTTAGCCGTCTTATGAGACGTACGGCTAAACCCGATTGTTTCTAGTTCTAGTGTTAGTTAGTGCTGGTTCTACTTAGAACTAGAACTAGGAACATTCGGGTGTAGCCGTACGTCTTTAAAGACGGCTAAATCCAACCCAACCCAACCCAAATGTTTCTAGGTCTAGTGTTAGTTCTAGTTTTACACTAGCACTGGTACTATGTAGAACTAACACTCTACCTAGAACTAGAATCATTCGGGTTTAGCCGTCTTTAAAGACGTGCGGCTAAACCAAAATGATTCTAGTTCAAGGTCTAGTGTTAGTTCTAGTGATAGTTCAATGAAAAACATACAACAACCTAGCACTAAATTACAATTAAAACTAGAACTAACACTAGACCTAGAACTAGAAACATTCCGGTTTATCCGTCTCAAGAGACGTACGGCTAAACCCGATTGTTTCTAATTCTAGTGTTAGTTAGTGCTGGTCCTACTTAGAACTAGAACTAGAAACATTACTTTTAAAGACGGCTAAATCAAACCCAACCCAACCCAAATGTTCTAGATCTAGTGTTAGTTCTAGTGTTACACTAGCACTGTTACTATATAGAGCTAACACTATACCTAGAACTAGAATCATTTGGGTTTAGCCGCACGTCTTTAAAGACGGCTAAACCCGAATGATTCTAGTTCTAGGTATAGTGTTAGTTCTAGTTTTACTCTTGAACTGTTACTAGAAGTAACATCATACCTAAATCTAGAAACATTTGGGTTTAGCCGTACGTCTCTAAAGACGGCTAAACCCGAATGATTCTAGTTCTTGGTCTAGCGCTGCATAACAATTAAAACTAGACCTAACACTAGACCTAGAGCTAGAAAACTAGAAACATTCGATTTTAGCCGTACGTCTCTGAGTTTAGCCGGCTAAACCCGAATGATTCTAGGTCTAGTGTTAGTTCTAGTTTTAGTTCAATAAAAATATACAAGAATCTGACGCTTAATAACAGTTAAAACTAGAACCATCACTAGCATTAGAACTAACATTAGATCTTTAACTAGAAACATCCGGGTTTAGCCGTCTTAAAGACGTACGGCTAAACTCGAATGTTT